TGCAATGAAAGTTGTTTACTTCTCACTGTGTACCCACATGGTGGAGGTACTAGGGAGCTCTGTTAGGCTGTCATTATTCTCATTCCTAAAGCCTCTGTCCTCATAACCTAGACATCTTTCTCATTCCCCAACCATTACTTTGGATGTTAGGACAATTCTGGGTACCTATAATCTATCCTATAAACATTTTAGTAATGTGACCAAAGCACAAGGCTAAGAATATGGAATATATATATGTTACAGGGCAGGGAGAGAGGGAACCACTGAACCCCCAAGCCTGCCTGCTCTGAGTAGTTTCTGCCATCTGCCACATCAAGACAAAACATATAAGACTTTAATAAAAAGGAACTTGAATAAAGTGAGTATACAATACGGAAGACAAAGAATATAATTTCTAAATCAAACACCTGAAGTTACCCATCCCTTTGTGGGTAAAAGTCCACCCAAAAGGGATTGGTCCAAAGCAAGGCATGAAAGCCTGCCACAAGCCTAAAGCACGTTCTGGCTGGGACCCATTGAAAAGGGTCAGAAATGACCCGACAAGTCTGGGAGGAAAAGAGCAAATCAAAATCAATATAAACATTGCCATAGTCAACCTCCCCACGGGTCTCTCACCCACATCTCTTTCAACCAGACCAGGTCCAAGAAATAAACATGGCTTCTTTACATGTCTCCTTTTGCTCCATGTGTCTTCCTCAGGTCTCCTTCTGGCTCTCCATACTGCTTCCTTCCTCTTCAGATTCTTCTCTTTCTTTTTCTCTTCTCAGCTCCACCGTACTTCTGTGTGGGGTAGGGAATCTGGAACTTCCCCTTTCCTAGGGACTACCCTGTTACATATATAACTCATTTATTCCAGTGATTATACTCCTAGATAACTACAGAGCGTATTTATAAATGTACATAGATTTTCCTTCCCTCTTAGGACACAATGGGCAAAATAGTTAGCCCTCTCTATTTTCACTTGAATGTGTTCGTGATGGGAGCCACTTCACTCAAGTCACTACAGGAGGACACTTTTCATGATTTCCCATCCTCCACCTGTTGGTTGATACCTAGAATTCCACCACTAGAGCTTTTCCAGGTGTTAAAGTTCTTTAAATTGTTTTAAATATTTGGATTCTGACTAGTGATGTGCATAAGCATATCAGGTTGCAAAAGCTCAAAAGGCACTTAGATAAGGAATGTTGAGGAGGTCAGAAGGTCAGAAAGGAGTAGGCTGGAAGTACAACTTGAAACTGCCTACCTAGGTAGTTCTGGTTCAGGATCTCTCAATGTTGCAATGAACTGTCTGCCAGGACCTATTTATGAGTAATTTCAATATGACAGTCTAATATCAGATATGGGTACTTATTTGTGGATGCCTTTAGATAGATAAAATTGATGTATACTTTCAGAGTGATAGCTTTGGAGACTGAGTGGAACTCAGTCCAAAAAATACACTAAGGAAGACGGGATACCCAACCTTGTAAAGAGAAGGTTGAGAAAAGAGAATTATGAGAACAGTGGGGAGGTTGGAGGTAACTTTTTCTAGGGGACTTGCCAAGTAATTCCCTTGGAGGAAGAGTACAGATAGCTAGATTATGACAGAAGCATCAGGAAAAACTCCAGAAAATATTTGAAACTAGATCATTTGGAGAGGAAGGTGGTAACAAACTGTACTTTAGTTGGTCAGTGGAAGGACCAACTACCCCAATTGTATGGTACCCAACTCACATCTCCCTATCACACCAGTAGTTTTTATTTTGAAAAGTCACCAATCCCCGATTTTTTGATGGTCTCACCTCAGATGCTCAGTACCATTATTGGACACTGACATTATGCTGTTTAGAGTTAAGATTATTATCCGTGTGTCCCAAGTATTCTCTGCCTGTGGTGTGTATCTTGTCCCTTACTTGGGGACATCCTTTATTGTTTAATAATTTAACCATACCTCCTACCACCTGCATCAGAGACCTGAAAAAACTATTATCTATTGTAGTATGACACATTATTCCCAAACTAAACAGCTTGAAGGATCATTTATTATCTCACATATTTCTGAAGGGTTAGGAATCCAGGAACAATGTAATGGGGTAGTACTGGCACAGGATCACTTACAGATTTGCAATGGACTGTCTGCCAGGATCAGAGACATTTTTAAGGCTCCACTGGATTTGGGAATTCCATTTCCAGACTCACTTGCATGGTTGCTGACAGATATGAGGTTCTCATGATTTTTGGACAGATGTCATTGTTGCTACCTCAGGCACCTGCAGAAAGCTGGGTACTATCATGACAGGTGGTTTCCTCCAAAGATACTAGAGAGAAAGAGGGAGAGGATATCAAGAGGCACCTAAATGGAAAGTCACAGGTTTATATATAATCTAATCTCAGAGGTGCCATTACTTCTGCCACATCCTGTTGGTCACAAAGATCAGCCCTGCTACAGTGGTAAGGTGATTACATAAAGGTGTGAATACCTAGAGGTAAGGGTTGTTCTTTTCCATCTCCTTTTGTAGTGTCTCTCAGACATGACTCTTTTGTAAATCTGATTGATTTTTGCATTCTGGAGGTTGATGGAGGAAGCCTTGGTTACCACAGACCTAATCTCACAGGTGAAATGCATAATATGCCAGCATGGCCGTCAGCTAAACCTTATAGAGAGGAGAGCAAAATATCTTGGCATGCCAGTCCTTTGGGGAGAATTTGTTCCCCATGTAGGGAAGGAAAGATTGTAACACCAGACTTACCTAAGGAAATGAGGTTCTAAGCACAAAAACAAGAGATCTCACATAGTGTCAGAGTTAGCCTAAGCACCTTAGGTAGGACTTAGGAACATAATATGGGGTTAGCTCCCTTTTGTGTGATGTGAAGAAAATCTTAGGAGATTTCTAGGACAAGAGCTTGACACTTCCTGTTGAAAAATCACAATTTTATTTAAACCCAGGAGTCTGTTTAGATTGGAAGTGGCTTCTAGACTCCTAGAACTGAGAAAAGTTGTGGGGGTCATTTGCTTCAGTGAGAAAGAAGACTTGTTTCTCTTTGCCATTGCCAGAGAAAGCAGTGGGAATATAGCCTGTTTCTACCAATGATGATTACTTTTCTTTCTTGGAACCTTCTTTAAATGGGCCTTGGGGAAAAACATCAAACCAATATTCCTCACTCCTCATGCATCCAGCCCCAGGCCCAACTGGAGGACATGAGTTCTAGAGGTTTCCTCATAAGATTCTTAAACAGCTTGAGCTGGATAGTTAACTGAAGTTAATTCAATTAAGGAAGGACTCAAGGGGCACTCAGAATACACTGAAATTGATGAGAAGTACTGGATCTTCCATGAAATCTTACTTTTGTTCTTGGATTTATTAACTTGAAATATAGAATTATACAATTATATTCTATAGCAGACATAGATTCACTTGCCTTTCAGAGAGGTCAAGATACTAATCCCACAGTAATGGAATAAGTTGACAACCCAGATTGTACTAAAATCTTCTGAATTTCTCATCTTTTTTCCCTGTGCCAAATTGAACCTGCCAGTTATAATGGCAGGTACATTTCTAGGATAGGCAGACTGCAAGTGCCTGTTGCGGTAAGGTCCAATTTCTGCTCTTATTGTGATCTGTGAATGACAAGGGATCACATTTTCCAGGCTCTCTTGTGTTCTGGCATCCTGCTATGTTTGGCAAATAAGGGGACAGGGGCAAGAGAGGGTGCTGGTGCAATTTTTGAAAAGAGGAGTTGGTGAGAAACAGGTATTCTTCCTCATTCCCTGCTTACTTTATGATCTGCAGCAGTGACTGGGTCTCTGTGGTGCCAGCATCCACAGGACAGCTCCCATTGTGATTCTGGCTTTTGGCAAATGATACAGCCTCTATAATCCGGGGCATGCAGCTTCTCCAACCCAATAAGCCAGTTTGCTCACTGTTGTAACTACACTGAATTGCCTTGATCTCCCTTGCTTGGCATCTCATTCAGCTCTTCAATCCCTTTTTACCCAGTTCCCTGTATAAATTATTTGTTTAAAACTAGACTGGTTACTCTTTTCCTTACTGGATCCTGACTAACAGAGTGGGACCATCATTCCATGTGTTTGTGCACTTTGTAGGAAAACAATAAATCCTAATGTTCAAACCTAGTGTTGTTAATCAAGCTGATGAAAACTACATATTTGTCTTAACTCCTGAAAAGTAAAAGATAGACATATTTTCCTGAGGGTTAGTCTTGTGCCTTCTGCTGCAGTATCAAAAGAATGGATTACATTGGTCTTATAGGTCTCCATTTATGTAAACCATGACTTAATCATGGAAGAAGCTGTTCTCTGTATGGGTGGGTTTGTATTTTTTAATTGTAGCAGAACAAGCCCCAATGTCATGCCATTGGTTTCCACCCTCATTTTGGTAATGACTGTGCACTTGGCCTTCCCATCACAAGCTAGTTGGTGTGACCTATAGTCCTGTTTATATGCCAACCCCTGTTCTTGGCCTCCACACAAGGATTCCCACAAGGGTTCCATTTGAGATGGTGGTTTCCAAGATTGGGGTGTCTGTCTGCCAGCATTGGATTTGAGACCACCAGCTTGTTTTTCCGAGTATTAAAATCTCAATGATCTCCAACAAATTTTCTTTTCCAGAATATTTTCCAAAAGGTTCGTAAGAATATCTCTAAAACATTTTTGTTTTGAAGGCATATAGGGTCTAAGGAGAAGGGTATGGGTAATGCAAATTTTAACTTGGCAGGCTGGTTTTAAAAACTTTATCCAAAAATATTTTTCCCTTAAAAAAAAAAACAACTCTCTTTACATATTTAAGTAATTCATTTGGGAAAAATTACCACTCGGCTGGCTATTTACATAGCCAACCTTTAGCAGCTTCATTTCAGAATGCTTTGAAACCAGTCAACTACAAAGCCTCAAATGTTTTTTCTTTAAAAGCTCAACTTAACCTTTACTACCATGTGGGTGAGAAAAGTGACAACTCATTTTAAAGATTCTCCCCTTTTGTTTCTTTGTCTTTCTTCTGCAGACCATGTGTTTATACTATGGGATCGCCCATAAACAACAGGGCCCTTTTTCCATGCCAGGAGCCACCCGTTGCCATGTCAACATGGCAGGCTACAGTTCGAGCAGCTGCATCTTTTGTTGTCTTAATGAGTGGGGAAAATTCTGCCAAGCCAGCACAGCTTCGGGAAGGTACCGTACATGTGGCCTATGCTTCTTTATATATTGCACACATGGTGGACCCAGGAACCCATACGCCCTGTTTTTCTCAACTTTAAAAAGCTCCTTTATTAGTTGGGTTGGAATGAACATACTATAATATATTCTGCCAGAGAAAACAGCAGGGAATGGGGAGGGGCACCGGGGAACCTGGGAAGGGGATGTGGATTCTTCATGCCAGAGTTATCAATTCCTCTATTATTTCAGCAGTTATTTTCACCTGGTGGCTTGTGGGCCATAAGTGGGTGGTCTTGGGTGAAGACTTTCTGGGCAGACTGTTATGTCATGGAAGCCTCTGAGCTGTAAATGTTTCAGTCCTGGATCCTGTACAAGATCATTATGCTGAGTGATAATGCTCCTTTTGGCCAACTATTGGAGTTGTCCTGCTAAAGCATCTGTTCTTTTTCCCTATGAAGTTCTGAACCAAAGAAAAAGGGAAAGCAAGTATAAATGCACTATCAATGATTTGTGTGTTATGATAATTAACTTTTTTCATGTCAATCCCCCAGCATGTTGATATCAGGTAAAATTTTTGTAATTGTAATATTTCCTTATCTAAAATATGGTGTCTTTGCTACATACTTATATAAAATAGAAAAATAAAAGTAAATAATTTGAGAGGAAACAGTCACTTACATTTTGTTGCATTTCCCGTATTTAAAATCTTTATGTATAGAAAATATCTTAAAATTGTCATCATAGCACTTAGCACTTTTTATATATATTTTTTACTTATCCATTGTTTTTCAAAATATTTTAAATCCTGTGTAATATTTTGTAGTATGAATATTTAAGGGCTTACTTACCATTTCTGTGTTTCTAAACCTTTTTGTTTCTAGGTTCCCTCCCCCCCATTAAATTCCTGAGTTTTATATAATCTAAGAATTATCAGTCTAAAGTTTTGAACATTTTTAAGGCTGTGGGTACATACCCCAAGTTGTTATGTGGATCTCTGTTTCCCATCAGATAGGCAGGGGAAGATCTCTTTTTAATTTGGAATGCTCTGATTACCAATGAGGTGTTAGATGCTTTACATGTTTCTGAAACATTTCCATTTCATATCTGTTTTTTTCCTTTGCCCATTTTTATACTGAAATCTTTTTTTTTTTAAGATTTATTTATTTATTCATATGGAACCGGGGTACAGGCCAGAGATGTGGAGGGTGATAGGATTCACCAGAAACAGAGAGAGGAGCAGAACAGGCAGATCGACGAAGCACACTGCTGAGGGGAGCAGCAGGTGGGTCAGGGGAGGGCTGCCTTGCCATGTGGATCTCCTCCGGGGCAGGCGGGAATCGAACTCATGCAGAAGTGACTTTAGCTTCTTAGTGCTGTGCTTTAACCCGCTGAGACACCAGGGAGAGCCTATACTGAGATCTTAACAAGTTTTTCAAAGGCTTGGTTGGTCTTTTAATGTTTTTGCTTAAAAAAATAAAAGATTAATCTCATCCTTGTGAGAAATATTTTTCAGCAAGTATGTCTTGTATTTAATGTTCCTGACAGGAAGTCTTCATTTTTATGTAATCAGGTATGTTAGATTTCTTTGGAAAGTCTTTTGCTCTGGGATCTACCTGTTTTACTCCAATGTTTTAATTTAATTTTTAGTATAAGTTTTATAATTAAGTCTTTAATCTGGTTGTAGTTTATTCTACTTAGTACTGTGAAGTGAGTACTAGAGTTTTTTTTTTTTTTAATATCAGAAACCAGTTCTTCCAAGGTCATCTATAGTTTTTTTTTCTGATTTGTCATGTTTACTTTATCATTTATTAGGTTTACATGTGCAATAGAGTCTTCAGTGAGTATTTACTCAATTCTCTAAGTAAATGCATTTAAAATTTTTATTTTTAAAAGCTAGGTCACCTTTAAATGATTTATTTACAAATAAACAAAGAAGAAAAAACTGCAATAAATTCTCCATTATACTCCTATCCCCAACTACTCTCCTCCAAGGCAACCAAGGTCACTAATTTCCTTTGTTACAAAAAATCAAGCATGCTACATACATTTTTTTATATTATACTTCTCTTTTAGAATAAATTAATCTCATAGATAATTTTGTATCTGAACATGAGTATGTCCTCATTATTCTTATGACTATAGTGTATTCCATAAGTAAGTATTGGACTATTTAGTAACTCAGTAGCTCTCAAGTTCACTCTGTATCTAATAATGATGGATTTAATGGTAGCATTTACTACTATCCTCTTCGGTCATCCCACCCCCCAGTTTTAATTTATGTAATATGAGGTTTGAGACTGTTATCACACACTTACACACACAAACACACACACATATACATATATCCATATATGTGTATGTATATATCTGCTTTATGTTTTGTATTCTAGGAATTACTGTTGTTTGACATTTTCATATCCTTTTGCAATAAATGTATAGATTTCCTTTATTTTTCACTTCTTAAATTTGAATACTCTCTATCAGATCAACTGGAAAATGGCTTTATTTTTTTTTTTCTAAAAGGGACCCACCCTTTTAGTGGGTGTGTAGTAGTATTTTCTGAACCCTCCAATATTTAGGTTGCTTTTTTGTTTGTTTGTTGTCTAACTTATGAACAATCCTTGTCTAGGTATAAAACTCTAAGGGTTTCTTTTTCTTCCAAAATTGTAAACAAATGTTCATTATCATCCTTAGTACTTCTGAGGAGAAATCTGATAACGAATTCTTTTTATTCTTTGGAAGTAGCCTTATTTTCCTACCAGCAATTCATAAAATTTTTCTTAAGTTATGCAATTGGAACTTTTTAGAAGTTGTATGTACCTTTAGTTAGTTGTATGTACTTTTTCATAAAAATCAACTTTATTCAAAATTTACATATAACAAAATGTACAGTTTAAGACTGCTTCAGTCGGGTTTGACAAGTACACCACCCCTTTGAAGATCTAATCCACTCCATTATCATAGAAATTCCCTCCTGTCTGTACTGTTCTTCTTTAAGTCAATCTTCCCTAATCCCACTCCAGATCTACCACTGATCTGATGTCCCTATCTGTAGAATAGTTTTACCTCCTTTAAAGATTCATTTAGAGTCATTCCATGTCCATTCTTTTTTGTCTGGTCAGCTTTGCTCATCATGTTTGTGAGATTCATCCACATTGTTATAGATATCAATAGCTAATTCTCTTTTTAAAAATCAACAAATAATTATCCGTTATAAGAATAAACCAGTGTTTTTTGATTTTTGTTTTTGTTTTTCTTACCTATTTATCTGTTGAAGAACATTTAAATTGTTTTTGGTTATTGCAAAGGTGATGATTTGAACATTATTGTAAAAGATTTTTTGTAATTATAGGTTTGTATTTTGTTTGACTAGATACCCAAGAGTGGAATTGCTGGATCATATACCTGTATGTTTATAAGTATCTGTGAAATTATTTCCAAAGGGATTACATCATTTTATATTCCACCAGCAATGCATATTGTGTGTCCTCACAAATACTAAGTATTGTCTCTCCTTTTACTTTTAAACCTCTGACTGGGTATGAAATACTATCTCATTGTCATTTTAATTTGCATTTCTCTGATAACTAATGACAGTGAGCTGCTTTTCTGTACATTCTTATATCTTCGTTTGAAAAGCATCTCTCCAAGTCATTAATCCACTTATTTAATGTTGTCTTTTAGTTTTTTTTATTAAGTTGTAGAATATAAGCTCTAGTAAACTTTTTCTCTTTTTGTCTATCGCAAATATATTATCCGAGTCTTTGTGACTGCCTTTTCATTTTTTATTTATGTTTTTTATTTACACTGTATACCACTGATTTTCCAAGAACTCTTGCATTTTTCCCTTTAAAATTAATTAATTCAATAATTAATTTTGCATAGAAGAACCAAGGAGTAGGCCAGAGGTACAGAGGGTGAGAATATTCAGCAGAGACAAATTGGGGAGCAGAATATCTACTGAAATAACACTGATGAGGGGACTAGCAGGTAAGATGAGAGCTCCCTGGCTGGGGTTGAACTTAGGCCGTAGTGGTGATAATGCTGAGACTTAACTCCTCGTTCTCCTGCCCAATACTAACATCCTTTGTCAGTTCTATCATAGATTTAAATAGTCATTGTACTAGTTGCCTTGAAACTCAGCATTTTTTATCTGTCACTTTATGTCCTTTTATTTTACCCTGTTACACTCTTTCAAACAATTGTCATCTAATGGATTTTTACTATTTTTGCACAGAAGTGATAATCTTAAGTGTCTTTTTGGCAATTGTCTGGTGAAGCTCTGCTGAACTCACGTTGGATTTTTTTTAAGATCTATTTATTTAATACATATAAGAACTGGGGTACAGGCTAGAGGGACAGGGGATGAGAGGATTCACCAGAGACAGAGTGGGGAACAGAACAGGCAGATGTAGGGAAATACACTGCTGTGGGGAGTAACTGGACAGACAGGAGAGGTCTGCTATGCCATGTGGGTCACCTCCCTGGCCTGGGATCAAACTCATGCTGCAGTGGATGTAGATAGCCTCATAGTGCTGTGCTTTAACATATTGGGCCAGCAGGGAGGACCCACATTGGATCTTTTTTCTGCCCTTTCTACTCCCATTATGATAAAGAATTTGTCTATGTTCCTAACCATTTATACATTATATCACAGAACCGAATTTAAGAATTCAGGCTGAGGGCAGCACATACGGTGGGATCCATCAGCAAAGAACTAGAAAATAGAAGAGTCCTAACAAATCTATGTGCCAGAGCCAGAATGGCCGTGAAATCCAAAATGAAACAATATCTATAAATGTCTTGTACTCCTTGGAGAAAAGGATACCACTGTCTTTCTACCTTTTGTTTTCTGAGTTGGTAGATTGGTTCCCTAGGACCTCCAGTCTGCTGTGCACAGCACTCTTTGAAACAATGAACCATCCTTGAAAACATGAGCAACAAATCTAACCCACAAGTCATAGTTTCCATCACATCAACCTGATTAGCACATTTGCTAGCCACCAGATGATTCT